CTGTCCTTCACCGCGCAGCCCTTCATCCAGCTCCTGGTCTCCGCCCATGCCACGCCCCATATTAACCCCGCCCCTTGCTCGCCACCTTCCTTGGCCCATCCTTGGCCCCGCCCCAGCCGGCGTCCAATCCTTCACTGCCGCATCCCTTGGCCCCGCCCCCGACGGCGTCCAATCCTTCAACGCCCCATTCTTTAGTTCCGGCCCTTGGCCCCGCCCTCCGCCTCATCCAGTCCAACGCCTATCTCTTCGCCCCGCCTCTAGCCCACCTGCCTGGGAGGGCGCGCGGGGGGGGCCGCTCCTAAACGTCGCCCCGGTTACGCTGACTCTGTCTCGCAGCCGTTTCTCGTTGTAGGATGCGTGAATAGTAGGGATTCTTCAATCAGACTCGAAGGAAGAATCAGTCCTGAACGACTGATGCCAGCAGGTGCACCTGCCGAGAACTGCTTTCTGCTGAGCGGAGAACCCGAGCGGTGCTCTGGCGCAGGCGCGTTCTTCCCATTCGGTCGTTGGACTCGAAGGCTGGTAGACTGGCGGGAGGCGACAGCGCATGCGCTGACCCGCGGAGGAGTGCGCGTGCGCACCTCGAACCGCGGGCGGTTGCCTGGTTACGGCTATCGCGTCTCGGGTTTCCAGTTCTGCCAGTGATGTTGGTTTCTGCCCACACTAGTTCTCGCAAAGCAATGCCCGCCTGCTGCACAGAGCCCTAGACGGGGCAGGCGCCGCCGGCCCTCAATCCACAGGCTGCGTCGAAACCCCACTGCCCACCTGTGCGCGCCTCGAGGTCGGTCGTCCTGTCGGCTCCCAGCCGCGCCGTCCGCCTAGCCCAGGCCCCATCCTCCCTGGCTCGGCGGCCACCTCCACCGGCCCCTGTGCGCGTGTCCCATGCACACACTCAATCCTGTCCGGGCGTTGGGCGCGCAGTCCCCAGTTCCTCTCTTGCCTGCCTAATGCCCCTCGAGAGCCCAGCCGGGTCCCCTAAACCGCGGAGCCCCGTGGATGAAGGCTCCAACGGCTGAGTGGATATTTGTGTTGAATGAGAGCGACCCCCGAGGTACCGCACGACAGGTTAAGCTGCTGGGCCCCAATCTCCTGCTCCTCCCCGTGGCTGCTGCCTCGTCCTGGCACCATCGGAGCCCTCCATGGAGGATCTTAGGGAAGAAGGGGTGCTGCCATTTGTATCTCCCTTTTCCCGATGAGAGAAGGGAGGCTGGACCCACTCACCTGCACTCCTGCCTGGCAGGGATGGGCAAGGGCAGCAGCCGCCCCACTGACCAGCCTCTTCCGGAGGCAGGAAGGGTGGCAGGTGTCCCTGTCTGGCAGCGCCCGATGGCCGAGCTCTCCGTGCTGCTGCTGCTACTGCCACGGGCTGCCACGCCGCCTGGTGTGGGAAGGCACCCCAGTCACCCGTGGGACCCAGAGGCCAGGAAAGAAGGAAGGAGTGTGGTTGGGCTGTTTGTTTGCTGTGACGCTGGCGAGGGATCAGCCACGCTGTCAGAGCCCAGGCGGGTGTGGGGAGAGTTTCAGGCCGTCTGACGTGGCCGCTCCGCTAAGCTAACATTTGCCTGGCGGAAAGCAAGTTCTCAGCCTGTCTCAACACAGGGCTGGGGGACTCCTGGTGGAATGCAGTCCCGGGCCCGGGTCCTTGATCCGCTTCCTCCTGGTGGTCACGGTGCTCTGCAGCCGCTCTGTCCCAACAGAACACTCGGCCGAGGGGTGTCCTTGCCAGCCCTCCGCCTGACAGGCTAAACCTTCTGTCCTGGGCGCTGAGGCTAGGGGAGAGGGGGACCCGGCGGCCTGGAGAGGGGAAGGGCAGCCTCCACGAGACAGGGCTGGCTGAACGGTCCAGGCGAAAGCACTATCTCGGGCTCGGGCCCAAGAGCTGGAGCCCAGACCTGCCCCTCTGGTGTTCAGAGGAGCCCAGGGTGGGCCTGGGGGGGGACTAACTTGGAGAATCCATAAGCTGCAGAAACCACCCTCATGGGCAAAGGAAAGACTCCGGGGTCCTGGGGCAGGGCTGGTAAAGAGGCAGCAGGTGCTGGCTCCTGTGGGGCGATTTTAAGGAAAGCTGTGAGCCCAGCGCTGGCGTGAGGGGCCTTGGGCTCTCTTCACCTTCCCTCCTCCTCCCGCCAAGCCTTCCCATGGAGGCCGCCTCTGTTTCTCAGCTGTTTGCAGCCTTGGATGCGGGGCGGGTCCTGAGGCCCAAGGCCGAGCCATCAAGCCTCTGGGCCAAGAACCCCTGAGTCAACAGCCTCTGCTCTAAAGCCCAGCCTGCTGCCTGGAGGCTGTGTGCCCTTTGCCAGCTTCCCGACCTCCCTCAGCACCAGCCTGGGGGGCAGGAAAGGCTGGCGTTTAGGCCAGGCCAGGCCAAGCAGGTCAGACTCGCTGCCTGAGCAAGTCTGACATGCTTGAGGGGGACAGGAAGCGGGCGCTGTGGATGCATACACTGGGACCACAGGCATGACCTGGAACTGTGTGGGTAACTGTGGTGTGCCTAGGAGGTGTGCTGCCATGAGAGCCATCCTTCCCTTTGCCTGCAATATCCACTCCTCAGTGGACATGTCGCCCCTCCCTGTGCCCCCTAGGTGGGCGAGAACCAGCTGCAGAGTCGTAGCTGAGTCCAAGGGCCAAGTTGTAGCTCCTCTCCCAAGTTCCAGGAGGAGTTATTGTCCCCTTACCCAGCCCGCAGGACCGCACCCTTGCCAGGACAATGGGCAGAGGCCGTGCCAGAGAACCCGGCTGACCTTCCCATGGTTATACCAGCCGGCCTCCCCCATTGGTCCGTCCGTCTAAGGAGACCGCCACTGAGCCCTGGGCGGGGTTGGTCGGAACCTCCAAGGGCTCCAAGCGCAAAGTACGTGCTGGAGTGCCAAGAGCTCATAATAAATTCTGATTACATGTTGAAATGATAATATTTTGGATAGTTTGAGTTCAAATGTAGCAACTAGAAAGTGTGTCTCAGTGGTTGGTGTTAACCCAAGCACCAAACACATGCCTGGGTTTCGGCTTCATCCCCAGTAGGGGGCGTGCAGGAGGCAGCCAATCAATGTTCTCCCGTGGATGTTTCTATCTCTCCCTCCCTCTTCTTTCCTATCTCTCTAAAAAAAATCAATAAAAACATTTTATATTTTAAAATCGCTCAGTGGCTGGCATTGCATTTGCACTGGACAGTGTGGGTCTAGAGCCAGGGGTGGGCAAACTTTTTGACTCGAGGGCCACCATGGGTTCTTAAACTGGACCGGAGGGCCGGAACAAAAGCATGGATGGAGTGTTTGTGTGAACTAATATAAATTCAAAGTAAACATCATTACATAAAAGGGTACGGTCTTTTTTTTTTGAGTTTTATTCATTTCAAACGGGCCGGATCCGGCCCGCGGGCCATAGTTTGCCCACGGCTGGTCTAGACTGAGCACGGGGCTTCCTGGGGCTGTGGCGCTGGCTCTCTCCTGACCACCAGCTAGCCCAGTGGTCCTCAGAGGAGCCCTCGGGGTGGGGGTGGGGTGCCATCTCAGGCCCCCCCCTGCTCCAC